TGTAGCATGACTTTGTGGGCCGTAGTACCGGCACCCTTTGTGACACATGTAAGCATGACTTTGTCGGCAGTAGTACAGGCACCCTTTGTAACACGTGTAAGCATGACTTTGTGGGCAGTAATTAAGGCACCCTTTGGGACATGTTGTGTAAGCATGACTTTGTAGATAATTGTTCAGTTTCCCTTTGGAAGATGTTGTGATGGATTCAGAGTGATACAGCAAGTCCTTGTCAGGTGTCTTTTTGTGTCAAACAAGCAGTACTTTTTCATTTTTAGAAGGTTTGTTTGGAACTTTTAGTTCACCTGCCTGAAAGACATAAGTGAGCTTATGGCTTGGCACAGCATCTAGCATCCAGCTGTCTGTACATCTGTTGTTGGTACATACAGGTTCAATTTGTTTTCTTTAAACAACTTCTTCTGAAGAACAAAGAGTTCTAGGGTCCTGATATTTTGTCTGTAGCAAGCAGGGGGTAGAAATTATCAAGTTTGTTCAAATACAAGATATTGACCCACTTTCAAGGTCACAAGGGTCAAATTTGTTGAAACATTTCAATAAGTTCTTCTGAATTACTAATAGCCTTAGGCATATATTCAGTATGTTGCATGCTGCAAAATGGTTTTCAAATTTGTTCAAATGGATGATCGACTTGACCCTCTTTCAAGGTCACATGGAGCTAATATAATAAAACTTTTAAACATCTGCTTTTAAAATTATTTAAGGCCTACTAGAGTAGTAGTATTTTGTCTGCAGCTTCCTAGAATATCATTCTATCAAGGGTGACCTTAACCTGTTTGACCTTGTCAGGTTGAGAATATACAGATTTTAGACATGTTTTTTGCCAACTGCATTGATTAACAAGTGAGAGATTCAGGCCCTACAAACCACTTGTTTAATTTGTCAGGTCCATTTCCTTTGTGTCAGGTACATAGTGTATCACATTGTGGCGAGATCATAGAATAGCATGACAGAGCTGGATATTGTGTCCATGTACAGAATGACATGACATCCGATCAGAATAGGGAATACTGGTTTTACGAGTTATTGATAAATAAGATTGTTAAATATAAATATTTTATCTATGTAGTTAGTTGTAGTACAATACTCCATTCAATATTATTTGTTTTGTGAAATCGTTTGAAGTAAATCCTATTAGATATTTAATATAACACAATAGAAACAAATGTTTTTCACCAGTATGTGCTATAGGAATAGTGTGACTGATGTTTTATGTTGTCATAGCTACCAATAACATACCAAACCTGATCATGTGTAGTGGTGTACAACAGTAGATCTAGATACTTTCACCGGCAGTTCTTCTCCTGACTTCACATGTTTGTACAATTTGGGATAGTTCATCATCAGAGACTGGTTAATAAAACCATGTGTAAATTGGTAAAAATTCTGTTGAAATATAAACAGTGCCTTCATTCAGCACACAGATATACGTACCTTGTAGGCCTTTTCTCAGCTCCAATTCAATACTTTGGCTACTATGATGAATTGCAAATACTGGCACAAAGGTGGATTCTTTACATCATGGATGTTTCTGAGAAAGAATAATTTCTTTACTGAAAAATATGCAATGTAAATTGACAAATAGACTGGTGTGAGTTTATCAATATAGATCACACTGCCATTGGTTTTCACATTTATTTATTTGTGGGTTTGCATGGCTGCAACCATCTTGATTTGAGGCTGGTATGCCTCTACACGGATATCAAAAGAGAAATCATGCAGTTTGGTTACAAGAGTAATTAACACGTTATAAGTCTATGAACTATTTTCTTGATGACAGTAGCCTTAATACCTTAATACAGATTAAGCTCAATTTTGTATATTTCTCATAACTTAAGTACAACTTCATTATATACAAATCACAAATCTGAACTCTGTAAATCTGACTTATGAGGTTTTAACTACCTTTTAATGTTGGTAAAAAACAAACACTTCAATTCCTTTAATTTGTCAATGGTGAACATGTGGAAAGAAAAGAATTTCAAAGAGGCTGACCACCAATCTGAAAACCAATTCCAGCAGGAGTTTAATTTGAATACATTACTCTTGTTACTTTAGTAAAGCAGTTAATAAACTAGGTAATGGAATAAAACTGGAAGTGTGTGGGTGTTTACGAGTGAATTCCAATAGTTGATCTGTGTTATTGATACAGTGTATAATCTATCACTAATGTCATCCGATTAGAACAGATACCTCCTTGCTGTTAGTTGAACAGAAAGAGTTTGCATTTGATAACATAATTGAAAGATGTACAAGAATACATGCATTATGCTGAGGTAATTTTTCGAATTAAAAAGTTATTATAGGAGAAACTCTGACATCAGTTAAAAGTACAATGGCTGAGGTAACAAATCCTGTAACAACTTTATCATCGTGTGACTATCATCTATAATGATTTATCATCATGTGACTATCATCTTTTATGATTAATCATCATGTCACTGTCTTCTGAGATGATGAGGTTTGTCATCACGTGATTGTCATCTGAGATGATGAGCTATGTCATCATGTCACTGTCATCTGAGATGATGAGCTTTGTCATCACATGACTGTCATCTGAAATGATGGAGCTATGTTATCATGTGACTGTCATCTGAGATGATGGAGCTATGTTATCATGTGACTGTCATCTGAGATGATGGAGCTATGTCATCATGTGACTGTCATATGAGATGATGGAACTATGTCATCATGTGACTGTCATCTGAGATTATGGAGCTATGTCATCAAGTGACTGTAATCTGAGATGATGGACCTATGTCATCATGTGACTGTCATCTGAGATGATGGAACTATGTCATCATGTGACTGTCATCTGAAATGATGGAGCTATGTCATCATGTGACTGTCATATGAGATGATGGAGCTATGTCATCATGTGACTGTCATCTGAGATGATGAAGCTATGTTATCATGTGACTGTCATCTGAGATGATGGAGCAATGACATCACATGACTGTCATCTGAGATTATGGAGCTATGTCATCAAGTGACTGTCATCTGAGATGATGGAACTATGTCATCATGTGACTGTCATCTGAGATGATGGAGCAATGACATCACATGACTGTCATCTGAGATTATGGAGCTATGTCATCAAGTGACTGTCATCTGAGATGATGGAACTATGTTATCATGTGACTGTCATCTGAGATGATGAGCTATGTCATCATGTGACTGTCCTCTGAGATGATGGAGCTATGTCATCATGTGACTGTCATCTGAGATAATGAGCTTTGTCATCATGTGACTGTCATCTGAGATGATTGAGCTATGTCATCTGAGATAATGGAGCTATGTCATCATGTGACTGTCATCTGAGATGATGGAACTATGTCATCATGTGACTGTAATCTGAGATGATGGAGCTATGTCATCATGTGACGGTAATCTGAGATGATGAGCTATGCCATCATGTGACTGTCATCTGAGATGATGGAGCTATGTCATCACATGACTGTCATCTGAGATGATGGAGCTATGTTATCATGTGACTGTCATCTGAGATGACGGAGCTATGACATCACATGACTGTCATCGGATCATAAACTGATGGAGAATGTTTGAATTATACTGATTTAAAGTTATAGAGTGTAGAAGGCATGTTTTGTACTCTCAGAGACCAAATTTTCAATGTTCATGCTGCCCTTTATATACCTGATATTAGTGTTACTTGAGTACAGGGGAAGTGTAGGAATACTTTTAACTGACATGATGAAGGAAGGAGTTGAGTGCAAAGTCAGATGTAAATTGGCAGTGCAACTGCATTAAGTGTAACTCATCATTTATTGGGAGAAATTTTTAACTACAATACTCCAACAATGATTTGATATTAACCGGTAGTCAATCTAAAGTTTGACTGTTGTAATACCATACACATTGTGCATATATTTCCATATGCATGAGATAATACAAATATGGATACATATTTATTTATGAGATAACTGCTGGTGATGGTTGCTTACCTTGCTAGCGATCTTAAAGTGATATAGATCAGACTTGCTAGATGAGTGATTTTGACGGATCTGTAGAAAAATATACATGCTTTGTACATAGTCACCATGGGTGTCACTGAGGTAATAGACAACCCTGTCTGTGTACAATAGACAACCCTGTCTGTGTACAATAGACAACCCTGTCTGTGTACAATAGACAACCCTGTCTGTGTACAATAGACAACCCTGACTGTGTACTGTTGCTACTGCATTAGTGGTGAACCATTTGCTCTGCAGTAAACCATGAGTTTTGCTGGAACCTGTGATGAAGCCCTTGCTGTCTCCCCTACTCCATGAAGCCCCTGTTGTCTCCGCTACTCCATAAAGTCCTTCCTGTTTCCTCTACTCCATGGAAGCCCCTGCTGTCTCCCCTACTCCATTGAAACCCCTGCTGTTTGCCCTACTCCATGGAAACCCCTGCTGTCTCCCCTACTCATGAAGCCCTTGCTGTTTCCCCCTACTCCATGAAGCTCCTGCTGTCTCCGCTACTCCATAAAGTCCTTGCTGTTTCCCCTACTCCATGGAAGCTCTTGCTGTTTCCTCTACTCCATGGAACCCCCTCTGTTTCCCCTACTCAATGGAAGCCCTTGCTGTTTCCCCTACTCCAAGAAAGCCCCTGCTGTTTCCCCTACTCCATGGAAGCCCCTGCTGTTTCCCCTCCTCCTTGAAGCCCTTGCCTTTTCCTTTTTTTCAATGAAGTCCCTGCTGTTTCCCCTACTGCATGGAAGCCCCTGCTGTTTCCCCTCCTCCTTGAAGCCCTTACTGTTTCCTGAACTCCTTGAAGCCCTTACTGTTTCCTGAACTCCATGAAGCCCTTGCTGTTTCCCTTTTTTCAATAAAGCCCTTGCTGTAGATTCAGCTGTCACCCCAATTCATTGCAGCCCTGTAATCTCCAATATCTCGACATATTTCTCCTGTTCAATGTAACCTCTGCCTACTTTTAATCCTCAATTTATTAGTATGTTTACAGCTATTTTTCTTCTTTTTCAGAATATCGAATTCTAGGGAAAAAGGGTGAAGGCACATTCTCTGAGGTTTTAAAATGTCAAAATATAAAAGATGGCACATACTGGGCGTGCAAGAAGATGAAACAAACTTATGACAGGTGAGTTTCCTTAGTGATAACATTATCTAAACCCTGAATGGGCAATACATCAAGGTCATCACTTTCAACCCTCAAGGTCATTGGCATCAAAATCATAATCAGACAAATTGTGAAGGTTGTCCCTAGTTGTACCTAATTTGTCTTTACATTTGTAAATGACAGATGACTCACTTATATGAGTGTTCCTGTAGTTGCCGTCTGTATATACTAAATAGATACTTTAACAAATATATCAAGGTGGGCCAAATATAGAGATGGTTCGAAAGAAGGAAAAACACCTATATGTTTTATCCTTGGAGATTTGTATAATATTTATTCACACTGATACTGTGTAAGTTATGAATCTCAGTAGACACATGACATAGTCAAAATCATTTATTATCATCCTGAATGGTGATGGTTTGGTTAGAATTAAACTTAAAAGTGGTGAAAAATGTCAGGAGCAAACAAATTATCTTGGCAATTAAAGCAGTACCCATTTATTCATATCCCCATACAATGTGACCATTTTATATTGTTTTTCCATTTCATATATAATTTATACTCATTTGCCATATTTTATATTGATTCCTGTACATTTATCAATTTTCTATAATTGTTTGTATATGTAGAGACATAGACAATAAGAGTGGGCTAATAGTCTGAGAATTCTCCAGCTGGAGTAGTGGTTCTAAAGCCACTAACATGATTGACTAGTCAAAATTTGATATTGTTTATCTTGTTGATAAAAATTGATTTAGTGGAATTTGCACATGGATTATTGCAAAAATTGGAAACTACTTCCCAAAATTGACTCAAGTATATTCAAAACTAATTTCTAGCCCTGTTGTATATTCATTGTACATACAAATACAATATACCTATTCTCAATACAAACATGCTCAAATACGATACCTTGAATAAGTTACTAAAGATTTTGGGGGAAAATTGAGGTCAAATAGGAAGCTTTTAAATATTTAAAATGGTCATGACAATAACAAAAAATATATATTTAAAACGTACTTGGACAAAAGCCAAAATATGCTGCCCTGTATCAGACTGGTATGATTTGGCACACTTGGTGGGGTATACTTACAGTCTTACACGGGTGGAGTTGCACACAAGTAAAACTTGTACCAAGCCATACAGATGGAAATCTTCAGTAAATGGATATTTCATATTTCACATTCAATTTACACTGATGTGAATTAATGAGTCTTAAATGTTCAGATTGATGTATGTGTTATGTACAGGTACGGGAGATTAACCGACAAGCACACATTTTTTATACAGTAGGTCAACCACTCTACAATTCTGTAATTGATGCGTGATTTTTCAACATAAAAAATATCAAACTGGAGCAGGTCACAGCATATGTACCTCCTATGAAATCTCAAACTTACCATTGATGGCATTGAGCCTAGCTCCCTGGTAGACCATTTGATGACTGGTCTGCTGCCAAACATAGTCTATGAACCCTTCGTTAAACAGAAATCAAATTGAGCTATAGCATTGTCCTAGGCTTGCTTTGGATGATTTGATTGTATCACTCATTAATGCAACATATTGTTTTTATTATCTGATTCCTCTCTGACTAGATCTACTTGATATATATACAGGTTTATCAATACAATTCTTAATATCATTATTGAGACAACACTAGGAATCAACACTCAGTTCACAAAACCACCACCAACAAAACCACCAGGCTCACCTATGCTAACCTCATTGCCAATAAGTTCCCCATGTAGCTATCAGCTCAGTGCAAATGGTTAATTCAATTTCTGCCTATCCTGTTCAACATTTTTAGGCTAACTGACAGCCTCCCCGATTTTTTGGTATGTGCCAACGGAACTACATGCCTCATATATTTACTCAACAGTCTTGGGGTCAGAATACACTAAGAATACAGTCCAAAACATCTTGTGGAAGTCCCAGCCCTTCTCTAACATCTGTGCTCCTGATCTATATGGCAACCTATTGATCAATTTGTTAATTTTCAAATATTAGTAAAAGACTGAACTTCTGCCTAGATCACTGACAGGGGTGTTGTCATGACTACACTTAAAGTGATGGTGTTGTAAACTAAATCCCTGTCCTGAACACACACACAAGTTGTTTCCCTCCGTTTAAAGGTGATGCAAACAATTGAAATTATATAAGAAGACATGGATCCATCAGCACTTATTTTAATACCCTGCCTAATGATAATTTTTTCAGTATGAGATCTTTGTTGGGGGAGTAAAGTCAGGGAATACTCTGAATATAAGTAAAATGAAGCTCTAGGTGTTCCATTTCTGTCTTGTCTCAAGCTCACCGGACTGCTTTGGCTTAAGCTCATTCCCTGGTGTATTATTCTTTTTCAAAAAATCATAATAAAAAACAGACCAATTTAGTCATAATTATCACAAATTGAATGCCAAATTGGCGGATGGTATATCACTCGATCCCAGATAGGCACATCTGCTGACATCCAACCAGGAAGTGCCAAGTCACAAATCATTTGAGTTCAAAATGTTCAGTTTCCCGTTGGTATATGTACACTCTGAAAGATCACGCCATTTCATTTTGATATGTGAGAGCATTACATTGTCATTTTAATAGCTGAACAAATATCGATCATCAAAACATTGCAACTGAAAACACCTCACAGGAAGATTCAAGATACAGGAAATATCAAACAAACTTACAGTGATGCATTTGCATACTGCTTTAATGATTTTTCTGCTCTTTCTAAACATTTCTTTCTTGACTGGGCTTGTATTTTATTTTGTCAAAATGTTTTGATAATAATTGTAAGCATGTGTAACAGCATTATAGTAAATGTAATGTGCTAAGACAGAGCAGCAGGTCCAGGATTTCATGTTAAGATGGTGTGACATTGGGTGACAATTGTCTTCAGCACAATCTATATGGGGGTGGGGGTAGGGAATTAACACTACAAAGTGGAGCTGCCACTGCAAGGTATGAGGATGGCAGATAAAAAAAAGTAATTGTGGTAATTACAGGAATGGTAATGACACACTCTTGTTTTGTTTGTTGTAAGATCCTCAAAAGTGAAAATCCCAGCCCCACAACCTTGTCGCCCTCCATAACACCTGTGTCACTCCTCCCCAGCCCCACAACTTTGTTGCCCTCCATAACACCTGTGTCACTCTTCCGCAGCCCCACAACCTTGTCGCCCTCCATAACACCTGTGTCACTCCTCCCCAGCCCCACAACTTTGTCGCCCTCCATAACACCTGTGTCACTCCTCCCCAGCCCCACAACCTTGTTGCCCTCCATAACACCTGTGTCACTCCTCCCCAGCCACCCAACCTTGTCGCCCTCCATAACACCTGTGTCACTCTTCCCCAGCCCCACACCCTTGTCACCCTCCATAACACATGTGTCACTCCTCCCTAGCCCCACAACCTTGTTGCCCTCCATATCACCTGTGTTACTTCTCCCCAGCCCCACAACCTTGTCACCCTCCATAACACCTGTATCACTCCATCCCAGCCCCCCAACCTTGTCACCCACCATAACACCTGTGTCACTACTCCCCAGCCACCCATCCTTGTCGCCCTCCATATCACCTGTGTCACCTTTCCCCAGCCCCACAACCTTGTCGCCCTCCATAACACCTGTGTCACTCCTCCCCAGCCCCACAACCTTGTCGCCCTCCATAACACCTGTGTCACTCCTCCCCAGCCCCACAACCTTGTCGCCCTCTATAACACCTGTGTCACTCCTCCCCAGCCACCCAACCTTGTCGCCCTCTATAACACCTGTGTCACTCCTCCCCAGCCACCCAACCTTGTCGCCCTCTATAACACCTGTGTCACTCCTCCCCAGCCACCCAACCTTGTCGCCCTCCATAACACCTGTGTCAATCCTCCCCAGCCACCCAACCTTGTCGCCCTCCATAACACCTGTGTCACTCCTCCACACACCTTGTCACCCTCCATAACACCTGTGTCACTCCTCCCCACACCTTGTCACCTCCCCTGTCTTCTGTAATCCCCGTCTTCTGTAACCAGGATGACTTGTAACATCATACCACCTCTGCCAGCTGTCAGCATGCGGTCTCTCTGGGTGTTAGCCATGGTGTTTGGTTTATCTTGCATGTCACCGTTGTTGTGACTCCGTGTGACTCTAGCCTAGGTTACTTATTGATTCTAACATTATATCATATCTGTATTATTGATTCTGGGATCTATCAGCTCACATATCTTTATAGTTATCTATAAACACAGCAGGTAGATACAATCTATTACCTGTGCTGTTTTTTTACCTGTTATCGACAGAAAACAAATTCTGTTACTTGGTATCTATGTTGGAATAATCTCTTCATTTAATCTGGTTCTTAACTCAGATCCTTAGGGAAATAGGTTATTCAACAGTTGCTATGATACTTTTTCACAATATTTCACTCCAGCAAATACATTTTTTCTCACGTCACCCTATCTGCATCAAAAGGTCAGGAAAAATATCATAAAATGTTCAGATTATGTTTTTAAGCAACATTTGTCAATAGTTCAACAGATTTGTATCGACCTATTTATATGTACAATCATCCACTTAGGAGTTGTACAGGCTTGGACAAAAGCAACTTTGTAAAGACAGGCCTGGGACAGAAGAAATATATTTGTACTTTCTTAACAAAGCATCTTATAATTAAATATTCTTTTGTGTCAATCAATTTGTACCTTGTAGTGAAATGTACATACTTTATCAATGTTTTGCCTGAGGTCAGAATGCTTTGGTAGTAAATCCGTGGCGATTTGCTGACATGTTGTGAATTAAGATTAAAGATATATGGAGTTTGCATGAACCTATTTTTCACTGAAGGTAATATTGATTCAGTAGAATTACTGAACAACAATTCGCGGATGGTATACCAATATTTGTAGTTTTTACATATTATTTTTCATTTGTATATTCCTTCCCATAGCAGGTGCATGTATACATGTTTTACATATGATTTGCTATTTACGGGTTCTATACCAGGTGTCTTACATATTACTTATTTCCCATAGCAGGTGTCTTATTCCACAAAGCAGATGTCTTATTTGAAGTTTCCCATAGCAGGTGTCATAATTGACTTATTTCAAAAAGTAGGTATTTTACCTAGTATATATGACTTATTTCCCATAGCATGCGACAATTAGACCAGTAACTGCAGTTAACGCTATCCGCAGTATGGTAGTAACTGACCCAGTATCTGTGGATGTGTTTACACCTCCTGGACGGTGTCCTGGACATTAATGTACTAGGAAGCCCCTGCCATTTGCACCTGCCTGTGTAGAATCAATATGTCTTACCTGTTTAGTACCACAATATGGCCTGATTAAGATCAAAGTGAAGGGTACCTGTACAGCTAAGTAGCTTATTTATTTTGTCAGCTTACAATTATCTTCAACTGTTTTCTTAAATAATTAATACAGAAAAGGCTTGTAACATGTTTGTGTTGAATGGGTAACTATGTAGGAAACAAACATGTACCAACCATTACAAATGGAAAAACAAAACATGTACGGTGTCCCTCGAACCATTACAAATGGAAAAACAAAACATGTACTGTGTCCCTCGAACCATTACAAATGGAAAAACAAAACATGTACGGTGTCCCTCGAACCATTCCAAATGGAAAAACAAAACATGTACGGTGTCCCTCGAACCATTTCAAATGGAAAAACAAAACATGTACGGTGTCCCTCGAACCATTATAAATGGAAAAACAAAACATGTACGGTGTCCCTCAAACCATTACAAATGGAAAAACGAACATGTACGGTATCCCTCGAACCATTACAAATGGAAAAACAAACATGTACGGTACGCGTCCTTCGAACCATTACAAATGGAAAAACAAACATGTACGGTACGTGTCCCTCAAACCATTACAAATGGAAAAACAAAACATGTACGGTGTCTCTCAAACCATTACAAATGGAAAAACAAAACATGTAAGGTGTCCCTCGAACCATTATAAATGGAAAAACAAAACATGTACGGTGTCCCTCGAACCATTTCAAATGGAAAAACAAAACATGTACGGTGTCTCTCAAACCATTACAAATGGAAAAACAAAACATGTAAGGTGTCCCTCGAACCATTATAAATGGAAAAACAAAACATGTACTGTGTCCCTCGAACCATTACAAATGGAAAAAAAAAACATGTACGGTGTCCCTCGAACCATTACAAATGGAAAAACAAAACATGTACTGTGTCCCTCGAACCATTACAAATGGAAAAACAAACATGTACGGTACGTGTCCTTCGAACCATTACAAATGGAAAAACAAACATGTACGGTGTCCCTCAAACCATTACAAATGGAAAACAAAACATGTACGGTGTCCCTCGAACCATTACAAATGGAAAAACAAAACAAATTCAGTTCACAGATAAAATTCATTAAATTAATAAAAAATACTTTATGTTTAACGTTTTAGTATATATATGTATAAGGCTTCCTACCCTGTCAACAGTCTCTATAGATAGGGGTTGTCTTCATTGTTTACAGATAATGTATCAAATTGGATTTTGAATATGGCATGGACAACCTCTGTTCTGCGTGTGCTATAGTTTGTATCAGGTTGCTACGTAGGTATATCTTTTAGGGAAAGTTAAAACTACAGCTGCTCTATACTATTTCTTCTCTACATCACTGATGTTGGAATTGGCTGTCTAAAATAAAAATCACACATACCAGGGAAAATATTGTCTAAATCGACTGCCTGGTGGTGTTAATGTTTAGGTACAGAAGGTGATAGTATAACACAGGTGGTGTTACTGTTTAGGTACAGAAGGTGATAGTATAACACAGGTGGTGTTACTGTTTAGGTACAGAAGGTGATAGTATAATACAGGTGATGTTACTGTTTAGGTACAGACGGTGATAGTATAACACAGGTGGTGTTACTGTTCAGGTACAGAAGGTGATAGTATAACACAGGCGGTGTTACTGTTTAGGTACAGAAGGTGATAGTATAACACAGGTGGTATTACTGTTTAGGTACAGAAGGTGATAGTATAACACAGGTGGTATTACTGTTTAGGTACAGAAGGTGATAGTATAACACAGGAGGTGTTACTGTTTAGGTACAGAAGGCGATAGTATAACATAGGTGGTGTTAATGTTTAGGTACAGAAGGTGATCCAATAATACAGGTGGTGTTACTGTTTAGGTACAGAAGGTTATAGTATAACACAGGTGGTGTTACTGTTTAGGTACAGAAGGTTATAGTATAACACAGGTGGTGTTACTGTTTAGGTACAGAAGGCGATAGTATAACATAGGTGGTGTTAATGTTTAGGTACAGAAGGTGATAGTATAACAGGTGGTGTTACTGTTTAGGTACAGATGGTGATAGTATAACACAGGTGGTGTTACTGTTTATGTACAGAAGGTGATAGTATAACACAGGTGGTGCTACTGTTTAGGTACAGAAGGTGATAGTATAACACAGGTTGTGTTACTGTTTAGAAACAGAAGGTGATACAATAATACAGGTGGTGTTACTGTTTAGGTACAGCAGGTGATAGTATAACACAGGTGGTGTTAATGTTTAGGTACCGCAGGTGATAGTATAACACAGGTGGTGTTACTGTTTAGAAACAGAAGGTGATACAATAATACAGGTGGTGTTACTGTTTAGGTACAGAAGGCGATAGTATAACATAGGTGGTGTTAATGTTTAGGTACAGAAGGTGATACAATAATACAGGTGGTGTTACTGTTTAGGTACAGAAGGTTATAGTATAACACAGGTGGTGTTACTGTTTAGGTACAGAAGGTGATAGTATAACATAGGTGGTGTTAATGTTTAGGTACAGAAGGTGATAGTATAACACAGGTGGTGTTAATGTTTAGGAACAAAAGGTGATAGTATAACACAGGTGGTGCTATTTTTTAGGAACAGAAGGTGATAGTATAACACAGGTGGTGTTACTGTTTAGGTACAGAAGGTGATAGTATAACACAGGTGGGGTTACTGTTTAGGTACAGAAGGTGGTAGTATAACACAGGTGGTGTTGCTGTTTACGTACAGAAGGTGATTGTATAACACAGGTGGTGTTACTGTTTAGGAACAGAAGGTGATAGTATAACACAGGTAGTGTTACTGTTTAGGTACAGAAGGCGATAGTATAACACAGGAGGTATTACTGTTTAGGTACAGAAGGTGCTAGTATAACACAGGCGGTGTTACTGTTTAGGGACAGAAGGTGATAGTATAACACAGGTGGTATTACTGTTTAGGTACAGCAGATGATAGTATAACACAGGTGGTGTTACTGTTTAGATACAGAAGGTGATAGTATAACACAGGCGGTGTTACTGTTTAGGTACAGATATTCTTTGTAAACAGTTTCATTTCAGTAATAATTAACATACCTTTAGAATGCATATGTTATGCCTACACTTGTCTCTGTAGTCAAAAAACAAAGGATTAAAAATCTTGCCTTCCCTAACCTCTCATAATCCATATCCCAGTGATAGAGCCACAGAGTAATCTCCCTTCCTCAAAAACCTTTTATGGAGGTTTTCATTATATAGAAGCAGTGGAATTCTATGGATTGTAGGTATAACACAGGTGGTGTTTCTACACAGGTATCCTTTATAAAGAGGTTGTCATTATATAGAAGCAGTGGTATTATAAATAGGGTAGTTGTAGGTTATATTTATAAACAGGTTATCATTATATAATAGCAGTGGTGTTATATTGAAGGTAGTTATAACACAGTTGGTATTAACACACAGGTGATCTTTTAATCAGGTAAATATAGACAGGTGGTATGTAAGGCAGGTTTCATATTGATATTATGTATACATCAGACATCATAATCTCATATCACAGGTATAGCATGAGAAAAACTCAATGATATTTATATTTTAGACTGTCGTTGTTATTGATGCTATATTTTGAGGATCTGAGGTGTACCTGCAGTCAGTGAAATGTTTACCTGAACTCTCTATGGGCTGTGTGTGTGAGTAATGGACACAATTACAGCTTATTTGACTAGGTTCATTATTTACACAAATTATTGGATTTTTGTCCGGTACAATACATTAGACACTAGGTAAACTTAGACACACTATCATTTCCAGTCTCACCTCAGGCAGATCAGGGCCATAGTTTGATTTGGGATTTCGAAGTCTGAAAATTAACATTTGTACACACCACGCTTTACATATTTTTTATATCCAGAGATATGTTTTATTACTCTACCTTTGGTAATGCCTGGTTTTACTTCTGCGGATAAAGTAACATTTTATCCTGTCTACTCTGGCAGTCTTTTTAAACTGTTAAAAAAATGCATACATGTCATTTTCAATACAATTTGGTTTGGTATAACTACAATTACATGAGAAAACACTTTTAAGCATGTACAAATGTGTGATTTTGAAGATATGTTTTATTACTCTACCTTTGGTAATGTCTGGTTTTACTTCTGCGGATAAAGTAACATTTTATCCTGTCTACTCTAGCAGTCTTTTTAAACTGTTAAAAAAATGCATACATGTCATTTTCAATACAATATGGTTTGGTATAACTACAATTACATGAGAAAACACTTTTAAGCATGTACGAATGTGTGATTTTGAAGTAACATTTGTTACCATATAGAGTTATAAGTTAAAACCATAAAATATGAATAATATATGACAATGATATTTACCATTAGCCTTAATGGTGTATGTACCATTCATTGATAGTTAAGCATTTTACACAAATACACTTTACCAGAGATAAGCTCACTCTTGATAGTTAAGCATTTTACACAAATACACTTTACCAGAGATAAACACAATTTTGATAGTTTACTGCTAGATGCACACCCATGAACATTACCAGGAATGAACTGACGTTTGATAGTATATTACCAGGGGTGTAACGTTTGATAGTATATTACCAGGGGTGTAACAAACGGGTTTTCAATGTGTAAGCCCAATGAAGAAGTGTGGTGCCGAAGGCAGCACCTCGAAGCGTGCAGCGCGAGGAGGGGGAGGGTATGGGAGGGGTTTTTCCCCCTCCCATTGGTGGGATCTGAGGGATCTCCCCCAGGAGAATTTTGTTTTCTAGAACGCCTGAGACGCATTCTCCCGTGTTCTGGCGTTAGTTTCAATGGCCATTTTAAAGCAAGAAAATATCGTTTGCCCCTATTATTTTACAAATATTTTGCTTATTTTCGGGTACGTAGGTTGGTACTCATCTACATGATGTACGCCAATTCTGTTATGGAGTTCGGTAACATTATTCCACGGAAAAGAAAAATCTAAGATCATGTGGATTTTGAGATAGTTATTGTTAGAGTTATTCTCTTCTTGTGACGTTTCTCCTCGTGACTGTGACTCCGGTTGCGCAGGGATATGAGACTAGTATCACAAGCTAGTCTACACTAGGAATAGTTTAACACTATGTACATAAGAACCGATATACTGGTCAATGTAAAATATAAAGCCATGGTTTATTACCATTCCTTCCCTTCATATGTATTTTGTATCAATAAAGGGGATAAAAATCATAGGAACAGTTTGTTTCACCATCAGTTNGGGGGCTAGTGAGTACTATGTGTAGACCAATAATTTGCATAGCTAGAGTTGCACTGGCACGGTTACCATGTCGAATGATTGAAGCCAGGCTACCAACCGTATTGTTCCCTTTATATTTATGAAAGCGGTAAAAAACTTAGAAACACTTTATTTCACGGGGAAAACTAGAGTTAGTGTTTGGGTACACTGATAATTAGCAAGGCTAGAGTTTCACTGGCGCGGTTACCACGCCGAATGAATATGCTACTCTCAGTTCTACATTTGTTAGAGACTTTGATTGCAACGAAGTATTTTAATTGGCGGTCTTTATAGCAGATACAAAACACCTGTCATAGCTTTTGAATATTTTATATCATAAAGTCTATGTTGCATCTTCATTTCTTTTATTTTGTCAAAAATGATGTGTAAGCCCGGGCTTTTTTGCTACATAGGTTGTTACACGCCTGATTACCTACTTATATAATTATGATACCATGCACACTATTTGACCATCAGTTTTGGTAATTAATGTTCCATTAGATCAACAAGGAGAAGTATAAAGTCTGTCCTTGGTGTATAGGTTTCCACTACCTGGTATATATAACAGTTGTTGATGTGGTGTAGGCTTCCTGACTGCATGTACACAAACAATTAACCTCGCCTCAATGTACAATGTGTTACACTGAAGTGGAACACAATGGTGTCCCAATGCTTCAGACCTGGAACAGAGCCACACCCACTGACACCAACTCCTGTGCCTGGCTGAGGACTGTAAACACTGCCAAGGAAAAACATCACTGAAAAATTCAATTTCCTTACAATTGTAAAACATTGATTTCTTACCTTTAACATACTGTGCTGTACAATACAGAATAACCTAGAATTGTTTATTCAGTAATCAATTAATTTGCCTTCAAGAATGTTACTCTTTCGTATTTTTGCACAAAAGATATATTGTTGTAGATTCTGTTAAGTAGAAGTCAGTTTGATATTTTTGTATTTCATTGTTGATGTTTCTGGTCATAGGAAACTTGAATCAATATCCATTTTTTTTCTCTACAATTTTCCATATTAATTTATTACTAAGTGATTTGAGGGGAACAAACTGATATTTAAGTATGGACTTTCTTTATACAGTGAAGGTCATGTTTCTCTGACCTCCTTCATACAGTAAAGGTCTTGTTTCTCTGACCTCGTTTATACAGTGAAGGTCAATGTTTCTCTGACCTCCTTCATACAGTAAAGGTCTTGTTTCTCTGACCTCCTTTATACAGTGAAGGTCAATGTTTCTCTGACCTCCTTTATACTGTGAAGGTCGTGTTTCTCTGACCTCCTTTATACAGTAAAGGTCAATGTTTCTCTGACCTCCTTTATACAGTAAAGGTCAATGTTTCTCTGACCTCCTTTATACAGTAAAAGTCAATGTTTCTCTGACCTCCTTTATACAGTGAAGGTCAATGTTTCTCTGACCTCCTTTATACTGTGAAGGTCGTGTTTCTCTGACCTCCTTTATACAGTAAAGGTCAATGTTTCTCTGACCTCCTTTATACTGTGAAGGTCATGTTTCTCTGATCTCCTTTATACAGTGAAGGTCGTGTTTCTCTGACCTCCTTTATACAGTAAAGGTCTTGTTTCTCTGACCTCTTCCATACAGTAAAGGTCTTGTTTCTCTGACCTCCTTTATACAGTGAAGGTCATGTTTATCTGACTTTCTTTATACAGTAAAGGTCATGTTTATCTTTATACAGTAAAGGTCATGTTTATCTGACCTCCTTTATACAGTAAAGGTCATGTTTATCTGACTTTCTTTATACAGTAAAGGTCATGTTTATCTTTATACAGTGAAGGTCATGTTTCTCTGACCTCCTTTATACAGTGAAGGTCTTGTTTCTCCGGATATTTTTATGCCCCGCAACAAAATCGGGGGGCATATAGTGTTGCCGATATCCGTCCTGTCCCGTCCCATCCATGAGCCAGGGCATTTATGTATTATAGACATTTTCTAGTTTTCATTTATTGTTTCTTGTTGTACATTGTGACAATGAAAATCAAGGAAGAATATAATTCAAAGCAATTTATTACAATTCCTATCACAATTCACTAGTTCCATGTCAATAATCATTACAATAATTGTTTATTATTTTTCAATATACCCAGCTCTTATACTTGTACACAGATTGTGTAAGCAATGATTTAAGAAGTTTGTGTATGTATAGTTATGTACAGTTTGTGTATTGTGTATGCATGAATGTATTAAGGGGTTTGTAATACCTACCTATAATGCAATATAATGCAGATGAACACACATGTATGTATACATTAGTAAGATTTACTGTATTAAGTTTTAATTTGATATATATATATATATACCGTATAGTGTATACTAGACTAGTTATAGGTTTACCTAGACATAAACTTGGCAGTGATTTTGAGTATTTGACATCTCAGTCAACTGCCGATCAGTGTAGGTTGTAGTGGTTGTAGGCGAGGTCTACTGGTGACCTTGTATACTACAGAGTTTGTAGGACCGTTGTCTCGTTTGATAGTTAGTGGTGGGAATTAGTCTGAGAATGATAGACTTGGTGTGGAATTACTTGGCCAGAAAGCCTATGTATACTGGTATGTGGTGACATTAAAGGGATCTCATCTATGTTCCTACTCCACATTGTACTCATCTTAGTTACTTACAGGAGGGGACAAAGTACTAATCAGCACAGTGCTTAAAAGTCATAAATACTAATAAAACTAGTACAGTACTTGTCAGTGTATATACCATACTGCAGTAGGGTGTATCAAATTATTTACATGGGCAGTGTAGGGAATAATTGTTATAGTACATGTAGATCACATAGTAGGACGTTTTTGTCAATGTAGTACGACTATCGTGGTATTGATGGGGGTAGTGTAGGGAATAATTGTTATAGTACATGTAGTTTCACATAGTAGGACGTTTTTGTCAATGTAATATGACTATCGTGGTATTGATGGGGGTAGTGTAGGGAATAATTGTTATAGTACATGTAGTTCACATAGTAGGACGTTTTTGTCAATGTAATACGACTATCGTGGTATTGATGGGGGTAGTGTAGGGAATAATTGTTATAGTACATGTAGTTC